AATGTCCAAAATAACAATAAAATTCATCAAGTCAACACATCAATATATAATATAGCCAAAGAAGTCCACCTTTGACTAACTTTAAGTCCCAGATTATAAAACAGAAAAAAAACATTGATCTCCACCCTTATTCCTGTTTACAAATGTTTGCATATTCATTTTTTATTCAATTACTAATGCGTAAGGTAACTGACAAAACAGTATGTTTCAGTGCCAAGAGTTGTGGTAAAAAAGCTTCTAGTGCACCTAAAGTATGTGCTGGTGCACCAAAATGAAATTTTCCAGTTTAAACAGTAAAACTAAATAAATCTTTCAGGCAAAAAAAAAAAACAAAGCAAAATAAATGAGCATCCTGGCAGCTTCTCAGTTTAGATGCAAACTACAGCACCTTTGTTTTATGTCTGGTCTCTTTCTACCACACTGTCTGACTGTTTTTCATCTATAGATATCTGATAAAGTGTCCCTAAAAACTAGTGATTATTTTGTCAATTGATCTGTCAGTTACTGTCCTTAAAATGTCAGCAAATGATGAAAAGCGTCAATCGGTGTTTTCCAAATCCCTCGATGACGCCTCGGATGTTTTGTTTTGTCGACAACACAAAGAATTTCAGTTTATCGCCGCAGAGGAAACCAGAAAGAAACCAGAAAACATTTGTATTTAAGAAGCTGGAATTAGAGTGAAATTACACTTTTTTTCCCTTTAAAAAATTACTTAACCTGTTTAATTGTTTTTTTCTTTCATCTACAACTAATTGATTAATCATTGCAGCTCTATGATAAAGACACAATGCACCTCTTGTTAAAAAAGAAAACAAACAGAAAAGATAGATGTGCATTTTATTATTGTATTATTTTAGATTGCCCAAGACAGAAGATGTTTGGTGTTAAATAACTTTTTTTTTTTTTACACAATAAAATGCTAATTAAACACTTGGAAACAGTTTTGGGCATTTTTATTCATGACAGATGTAGCAGGAACATACATGGATTTCTGTCTAATAAGACAAAACAGACTATCTGTATTTGCTGTATGTCAAATTAAAACTTTCGGGTAAACGCTCGTCCTGAGCAGGAGAAACACTGGCAGTGATCAGAAATAATGTTAAAATAACCACTTGATATATTGCATTTACCAGCTAATCAAAGCTAAGAAAGCTGGTGTCGGAATCCCCTCAAATCCTTCCCTTCTTGCCTCCCCCCCTGCAGGCCTTTAACAGCAATGGGACTCCAGAGCCCCTCCTGTTGGAGCCGGAGGTCCTCCATGTCCTGGTTCCTCCCTTCGTCAGCCGACCACAAGCTGAGAGCGAAACTCTGCGGCCACGAGGGAAACGGCGGCGTTCGTTCCTCAGGAAGAAGAGGGAACAGCCTTCTTCACCTTCACCAACGCCTGGTACAGAAAGCGTTTGTGGTCAGATATCAACTTTTATGGAGCCTCGGTTACTTGTTTTACACATTTTATCAGCAGGGATTTGTCTCTTTTAGTTTTATATTATGCCATGTTTTTGCAGGTGCAGCAGAAGGAAGAGGAGGAAGTGAAGACATCAGTGTGCCTAAAGACATCGACCTCATGGCTTTACCTCAACTCTGCTTCCCTGGTAATTGGTTTTCCATAACGCACACTTACATGCATTTATTAAAAGACAC